ATTCCTTGCTTTTAGCTCCAGGTAGCACAGGAGACCTTTTGTCAAAAGAATTTCAAGTTTAGGATTTACAGGTTACAAATGGACAGGTGAGGTCATCTTTTTAATGTGTGGTGTATTTTCATAGAACTCTCTGGGCGATAACAGAGAAATTCAATATATTGGTTATTGAAGGAAATCTTTGTTTTGGTATGTATGGTATTTAATTACATCTCTACCTAGTGGAGCATTTAGTACTCTGACCACAGTAGCCACTTGGCACTTGCTACCAGGCTGATTCTAAGCCAGTGAATTCCCATGAGAGTGTTTTTACTGCAGACTTAGCTTGGAGGAAATCCGTATTTTGTAAATGTCTAAAATAACATACATTGAGTTCCTCCTATAATGTCTTATTATAACAAATTCACATTGGGTTAAGGTGGCTTGCTGGAAGTGCTTTTTTGTGGGTGAGAGAGATAGACTAGTAAAGGGATAAAGTTGAACAAAAATGAGAAAAATGATGTTGGTGCCTGAGGCATTTATAATAAAGAGAATCAAATTTCTGGGCATGAAAGACATGTTAAAAGTGATTCTTTTGGGCTCTGTGCCTGTTTCTTTATTTTCGCAAAAGATGGAATTTGTAAAAGACGTATGTTGAATGCCGGTGTATTTGAAAGTGACACAACTTGCTTGTTATTCATTGACTTAGTGACTATTACTTTTCCTTGTATATAGCATAACTCATTCATTCACTTAGTCACCAAGTATTTTTTGAGCACCTGACTTGGGCTTGGCAGTGTGACTGGCCCCAGGCCTACAGAAATGAATGAGACACCCTCCGGGATCTCAGATTCCAGATGAAGAGACAGGCAGATAAGCATGCAATTGCTATGGAGTGGGGTAAGTGCCATGGGCAAGAGACATGTGACAGTTGTGAGCACATGAGGAGGGAACATGGCTGACAGGAGGAGGCCGCAGCAATAACCTCTGGGAGACGGAACCATTGGAACTAAATCCTAAAGGGTGGTTCGGTAAATGAGAAGTAGGAGGTCATTTCAGACATGAAGATGGATGAGTCGGTCTCCCACGTATCAGATACAACGTGTCCGGGTACAAAAGCAGGCTGGTTTCCTCCTCGTCACCCGTGGGCTGGAGAGTAAGGAGGGGCTAGGGAGGTGGGCGTGTGGCTAGATCTTGTAGGGCTTGTGTTCAGTGTCAGGAGCTGGAGTTTTAGTGTGTGTGATGAGGAGTCATCTAAGGGTTTTTATAGGAGGAAGACATGTCTAAGAAGATCATCCGTCTGATAGCTGGGGACAAGGTGATTTTATGGGGATGGAGCCAGAAGAGGGGAGGGAAGTCAGGCATCTACTGTCATAGTCTTGTTGACAGATAACTGATCTCAACTAGAATGGTGGCGATAGAGATGGAGAGGAAGGGGAGGAGGGGTATTCAGAAAGTTAAATGGACCGATGGGTGAGGAAGAAGAAGAAAGAACCAAAAGATCCTGGGTTTCTAGTTTTCCTTACTGGATGGATGGGTTTGTTCATTCATTCTTCTGTTCATTCATTCATTCAACACACATTTAGTGAGTGCTGATTAAATGCTGGCATTCTTCTAAGTACTAGGGAGTCAAATGTGAAAAAGATCCCTAAATCCCAATGCTATGGTGCTTACATTCTAATGGAAGTCGGGGTGACTGACACCATGAACAGGTAAAACATGCAGTGGAAGAGAGTGATGAGTACTCGTGAGGAAAACACGAGGCACAGGAAGGAGGCAAAGGGGGGTGGTGGGAAAAGGCGGTGTTGAAAATTGAGAAAGACTATTTATAGAAGGCCTTAAGGGGATGACAGTTGAGTAAAACCCTGGAAGAGATGAGAGAGCGAGCCATGTATCTGGGGGAAATGCGACAGGCAAATCCAGTCCAAGGGAACAGCAAGTGCAAAGGCCTGGAGCAGCATGGTGGGAGTGAGCAAAGGGTGACGGGATTGACTTGGACAGCTCCATGGGTTCCCTCTGGCCACTGGTTTGAGAATAGACTAAAAGGGCAAGGGAAGAATCTGGCAGACCCCTTGACCCCTTGTACTTAGCCAGGCTAGAGAGAATGCTGTGGAACGCTTACATATGACAAGCTGCGCGGCCTGGCAGAGCATGCCCTGAGCCCAGCCCCAGCCGCTAGCATGTGTCTTCCCAGCTTGTTCTGGTGTCCCTGGCCCGTGCCCCACCAGCCTGCAGACGTGCCCCAGCCCCCCTCCCCTGCGACTCCCCTCAACCTCCCTCTGCATTTTCCATGTCCTCCCAGGTGTGCCCCCCACCATGTAATCTTTCTCTGCCCTCTCCTCCCCTAGACTTCTGCCCCCACCAAGGCCCCACCCGGTGCTTCTCTCAGCCTCTTTACTTCAGCCTCTACCCACAGTGTTCCCCTGGGGCTCTAGCCTTACTCAGCCACTCGCTGCAGCTCCACCCTACACCTACCCCCAACCCCTCACCTTCACTAGAGTATAACCAGATTTTGGCAATAATTGTTTATGGGTTTTAACACTGGATTTAATCTGAACAATACAAATTAGTTTTGTCTGTCTTTGAAGTTGTGTGAATGGTATCAAATAGCATTCTAATGTATCATGGGTGCCCTCTTTTCCTCAGTGTTTTGTTGTTGTGTGTGATGCTAGTATACCCAGCTTATTGATTTATTTTGTTATCGATGACACTCGGGTTATCAATGACAAGCTAGACTTTTTGGGAACTATGTTGCTATTAACAGTCTTACACATGTTCCCAGAGACCACATTTCTGTGCGGTCTATACCTAGGAGTGGATTGTTGGGTCACAGGGTATGTGTATTTACAACTTTGCAGGGTGCTACATACTTTGTCCCAAATTTATCGTTACACCAGCCATGCATACAAGCCATGCATGAAAAGTTTCATTTTAACCAATCTGGTGGATGTGAAGTGGTCTTTCATTGTAGTTTTCATTTGCAGTTCTCTGACTTCTAGTGACCTTGAGGGCCTTTTAGCATATTTAATGGCTTTTTGGCTGGCTTCTTTGTAAAATTGCCTGCTCAAATCTTTGGCCTGTTTTTATTATCAGTATATACTAGTTCATTAAATATTCTGGATATAAGCTATTTGTGGGTTATATGTGTTTCAGATATATTTTCCCACTCTGTATCTCCCATTTTCATTCTCTTAGTCATACCTTTCCATCAAGAGAAGTTTTTCAATTTTAAGTAATGAATTTATCCATCTTTCTCTTTCATAATTAATGCTTTTGAATTTTGTGTAAGAAATTTTATACCCCCAAAGTCATAAATATATTTTCCTTTTAACCTTCTAAAGGCATTATTATTATACCTGTGATACTTAGGTCTGTCATCTTCCTGGGATTGTGTTTCTCTTAGTGCTGTGAGGAAAATGTCCAATCTTACTTTTTATCAGAAAGATCTGTTGTTCCCACTACCTTTTATTATATGGTCTCTCCTTCCCCACTTCTTTGTAGTTCCATCTTTGTTAAATGCTTTGTTTAACAATTTAACGATGTTTTTAAAAAGTGAGTCAATTTAAAGAAAAATATTCATAGCCACAGTTATCTGTGGACCTGGCTTATGAGGGGACATGCCAGTGACTGAAGTTTACCAAATACTCGTGGAGCAGATAGGACCAGAGGTGCCAGGCAGACCGACTCGGTCTCACCCAGATCGCTGATGAGTTTGTTACCCTTCAGCCGGTGACTTGGCTCCTCTAAACCTCTGTTGCCTCATTTGTAAAGCATAGGATGAAAGACCTCTCTGTGCTGCAGTGAGTATTAAATGAGGTCACACGTATGTATCACATAATGTAGTCCCTGGAATTTAGTAAACATTTCCTGTTAGTCCTTATATTCCTTATTTGTGAGTTGAAGAGAAAAATGGCAATAGTATATTTAAATCAATCACTATTCTCCTTAATTATGATAAAATATTAGCCGGGTTTGGAACATTTCTTGGTATGTGTGAACTCTGAAGTATCTAGAACGATCATCATTACTTCAAAGCAGTATATGGTGCTTCAGAGTAGCTCCCCAAACCCTCAAAAGGACTCTGTGCCTGAAATAGTCAACCATTCTGTGAACAGCTGTTGAGGTAATGCACCGCCCAGCTTTGATCTCTGCAGGTGTCATTATCCCCTTAAGTCATGCTCTGCGCTCACCTTGCACAGCTCCAGGCAGCAGTCCTGGAAAGATTCTTCAGTAATGACAGAGCCTTAACAAATTTGTAATATTAATGTGTAAACCATAATTGGACTTAAAAAATTATCTTTTGTGATTAGTCCTAACAATTTTTGCTTCTGAAGAGAATTTCTTGAATTCTAGTTCCTGCCCTGCCACTATCTATGCAGTTTTGGACAAATCACTTAATATTCTCATGCCTCAATTTCGCTGTTGTCAAAGATGAGAATTGGATGAAATTATCTCCAGCTCTAAAGCTCTAGGATTTGCCTGTAAAATGAAATTTTAGTATCTCTGTAGTGGATTTTCATCTTTGAGGGAATTTCTAGCATTTGCTGGATAGTTTGGAATTGGTTTTTGTAAACTGATAATTAGCACAAAGCCTCATACTTTTTCCATTTGTTATATTAACAGTGCGTACATATTCTAGAACAAATGTCTGGCATTTAAAATAATGAGACTCAGCCTGACCTAAGAGAACTTTGTTCAAAGTATGTTCCAGCACCATAATTATCTGTGGATAACTAACCACATTGGATGCCTACTTAGTTAACAATATTTCATGTGGCTGAAAAACATCCTCATCAGTGATAATGGAAATGCCATTTTGTGTGTCTGAATGGAGTTTCCGCTCACCTAATGTAATACTTCATGCTCAATCCTAAAGTGGGCTCAGTGGCACAATTAGGCAGTTCTTAAAGCAAATCCGGTGAACTTCTAGTGCTTCATCCTAGACTGATAAAACTCAAAAAACTTCATGTTCTATACATAATTTACAACTAAATATCACCATTTTGCATGTTAATTCTTTTATTTAACCAAATCAATTTACTTTCTTGGAGAAATTAGGCATTCTTTTCTTCAAAAAAAAAGAAAGCCTGCCAGAAATCTATAGATACAATGATAATTCTTTGATTTTTAAAGTGAATAGATGTTCAGACCATAAACTCTTTTTTACTGATAAGCACTGCTGGTGATGTCCCTGGGTGATTCTGTCTGGAACTTCCAGTGTGGGAAAAATGCTCCCCATACTATATACCTTTTCAGAGTCCATGACTACTTACACTTCTCTGAAGTAATAATTTCTCCAGAGATTTTTTTTTCCAATTTAAAATTTCCTATCAAGAATCCTTTACAAAATACTTTGAATAAATATAACCAACTGCAACTCTGACTTCCAGCTGTCACCAAGGGTCCCCAAAGAATATGCTTTGATTAGAAAACTAGATTGACAGGGATTTGAGAAAAAAGGAGACTCCAAAAAGCTACAGAACTGTTAGGCCCCTTTGTTCAAATGAATTCCCTAGTATGAAGCCATTGAGAAGTGTTAATATCCAAAAGTTCTTTCTTTCTTTTTTGAGAAAAGAAAAACCTAATTACTACCTAGACACAAATGCCATGGCTCCCACTCAGGCATACAGATTGTCTGAATGGAAACCTATTATATATTGTCAAACTCTAAACAATATAACAACCACAATTTAGTGATCTTCCTTAATTTTTCAAAATGCTTCGACGTATATTTTTCCTTCATCAAAGTGATCTTATGAGAGACACAAATTATTATCTCCGAGCACAGATAAGGACATTGAGTCACTGAAAATTGGCCTGTCGTGAGTGACATATTTGGCATTTGATTTGGGATTAGAATTCACTCTGCAGATTCTTAGGGACGTCATTTCTCAAAGACTACAGGATCTCTTGCAGGGACATAGAAGTAAAAGGGTTTTTGCTTTGCAGGCACCAGGAGCTGGCTGACAAGGAGAGCCCTGTAAGCACTGCAGACTTAGTGGTTGGGAAGTAGGGGTGGCAGATTCTTCCCCAAAGTCTAAGAAGGGGTTAGTGTATCCTCTGTTAATCCCTAGAAATACTCTGAGGACCCTTTACAGTGGGTGGAACTCCCATGGGAGAGGGTGTAAGCAGAAGGAGGCAGTCAAATTTGTATACAAATGCTAATATGACTTCATTTGCATTACAGGTTGCAGAAGTCTGGGGATATTGGGAATATTGTGTTATTTACTATTGATAATCGTCAAATACTTCTTTCCTTTGTTCTCCATATATCACACCTATCACCGTAATACATACTTTTTACCATCTTCACCTCCTTTTAGTTTGATATCTCCTATATCAAATCTGTATGACTCCCACCAGAATAATTCTTCCTGATCTTTATAAAACGCTCATGTAGGAGTCTGCCTATCTAGAATCATAGTACGTGGTGTAGAAAGCAAATCTGTCCTGGACCCATTGTTCAGAGCCAGCTATTTGCTTATGACATTTTCCAGCCTCTTCCAAAGTCATGATCTCCAATCAGAAGAAAAATTAACCACCTTTTATGTCTCCAAGGCTTTAATTTCTGAGACAAGTTTTTAAGGTCCAAGAGATTCTGGAGTTCATTGTTTCATTGTATTCCAGTGTGAGTGAGCAGAAACATGGAGGTCAGTGTGCTTGATTCTAGGCAAGCTCTCCTGGAACCTTGACTCCAGGAAGACTGATTCCACATATCTGACTTGCATTCAGCCATGCCATCGTCTGCAGCACGCATCACACATCTCTTCGAGCACAGCTCTCCATCTCCTTGCTGGGGCCGGGCTTCTGCAGCTTCATCAGGAGGCACTGAGTCCACTCCACCTGGGGGGCTTTCATGCCTGATGGATACTTATGGCATTACAAAGTTTCCTCTTTTTCTTGCCTATGTCAAAGATAAGAATTGCCAAAGAATTTGCAGTAGTTGTGCACTTTTTCTTTTTGACTTGTGTTCAAGGATACTTTATTCCCTCCATCCAGGAACTATACTTCACCCTCTGTAAACCAGAGGAGTATAGAGAAGTTACCAAAGCCTCCTCCTCCATCACGGAGACCAACTTGCCTTTAGGGTGCGTGTATTTATCTCTACCTCAAGCACATGCTCCTCTGCTTATCCTGAGATTATTCCAGTACCAGCCATAAGTCTGAAGTCGAGGGACAGCTCTTTGTGCTTCCCCGGAAATTCCCCCTGCAAGTCTTCTTATGAAAGCTCCTCGGAATGCTGTATCTGAGCTTGTTGGGTAATTTTCATGTCTTCTCAGAGCTCCCTTATAATTGATGCTGACATGAACCAGCTGACCTCAGCCTAACCTCTTAAAGTTGATTAGGAAGAGGGTAAATGGAAAAGAATCAAATTTTTTTAAAAAGGATGAATGTATATAACTTAATTTACTATAAGGAGGCAAAGAGGATATAAGATGTCTGAAATTTCCAACATGAAATGTTTAGAGGAATAGAGATAAGAGAAGAGCAATTTATTTTTGTGACAGAATCACTAAGTTTGGTTTTAAGGAATGTTCTTTGAATGATAGTTACACTTCTAAATAAAAAGTCATCAGTTTAATCTGATTTCAGTATGATAAAACAGATAGAGTCCAAGCTACTCATATACTGGTGAATTATGATCTGAGAGACTTAGAAGAGTATACACATAAAACCCTCAAAGTAGCTTATTAGCTCTAAAAATCTGCATCATTAATTCTGTTAGTTGGTGAAAGTGAAAGTAACGATGATTTTGCTGAAACAGAGGATAGATCAGTTTAAGGAAGGCCATATGATGTAAAGGTTTAAAATGCTTGATTATTATGAATACTAAGCAAGTATTTGTATAATTTTCTCTTATACATTTTTATCTGAAATCACATCAAACCAAACTGCTTATTTTTCCCAGGAGTTTTTGTTCCAGCATCCATCTGTGAATCCTAATAAACTGTGAATGAAATTCAGGAGCCATCCTCCAGTGGAGTACACTATGTGGCTTCTGCCTGCCAGTACGTCAGCTTTTACCTTTTGTAATGAAATGAAAACAGTAGCGATGCTTTCTGTAATAGGAAAAGAACTCAGGAAGAGCACTCAGAAACATGATCAGCACATACATGTAATGTATACGTGCCAGAAAAATCAGTGCCAAAGAGAGTTGAGTTGTACTTGTATTGGCATCAAGAGAATTGAGAAATCTATCCTTATGAATAGACTAGCTTTTCCCTGCTTGCTAACAAAAGGTGCTTTTGTATGGACAACCAGAAAAGTGGTTGTCAAAAGTGATAAGAGTAACACAAAACTTTTCAAGGTCCAAAGTTTATCTGTGAGTTTTTCTCTATACTGCTATTTCTTGGATTTAAGCTTTACCTGAGCCACTTGAGTGTAGCTGTAGTGGCCAGAGTTATCAAGAAAAAGAAGTCTTCCTCATATAAAATTAAGTAACCCTTTTCTTTCCTATTTGCTTGTGTCCCAAATGACACAAGGATCACTGTGACTCATGTTATCTCTCCACATCTGGTGTGAGCCCTTGTACAGAGTAACACGTGCCTTCTGTAGGAGACCATGCCTAGGCAAGCCACCTTAGTTGCTTTTCATATTACTCCCATGAGGCTCTGTCACAAAATGTACATGTAAAATAAAACAATGCAAATTCAAAAATTACTTTAGTAAAGAAAAAGTTAAATATTAATGTTTAGCAGGTTGGCAATAATTTTTTTCCATAAATCTAGAATATTATTTTCACATATCTCCTTAAGATTCTAATTGAAGAGACATATATTAAAAATCCAACAGTTTAGTCATGTAACTTTGTAATCTTGTAGCTCATACTTGAAAACATTTCTAAAAATAGTACTTACCAATAAGAAAAAAGTGTGGTCTTGTGTCCTTTACAGAGAGTATCAGAATAGATTCTGCTTTATTCTGTTACTTACTTTTCTTTTGAAGTATTTTCCAAAGGTGAGTTAGCCTGGATATCTCCTAAAGCAGAAGCCAAGACAAGAGGTGGTGGTTGGTGTTTTATGCTGGAAAGTGACCTCAAGGAAGAAAAGTATGGATTTGAGTCAAACAAGGAAGGAGGGAAAGCCATCCCAGGATATATAATTTTGCTGATCACCACTATAGGCAGCACGGTGTGCAGTCTGTGTTCATCCCCAGTGGGAATTCTGTATTAACCATGCCTTAGAATTGTTCTTCCAAGAGATGTATTCACCAACTTCCATCCCCCATTGGTCAAGTGTTCCTCATTAGAGTGTAAACTTTCTTACATTTCTAGGTTTATAGATGCATCAGGATGAGAAGGTTTTTGCAACTATTCCATGTGTTGCTTGGGGACAAGAAGCTGTAGGGAAGAAAGTGAGAGATACATGAAATAAGTGACTTAAACTTGAGTTGCTTTCAGGTCCTACCTGTGAACAGCTGGTTGCCACAGCAACAGCTACAGTTCAATGCTGGCCAAGAGGGTGTAGGGTGGGACACAGAAATGTCTGATACATCAGCTAGTAAAGAAGAGGGAAGAAAAATGACTTAGAAGAGGTCAGACAAATTGAGACCACAATATATAATACTGTTATATTTCTGCTAGAATGGCTTCAATCACTCCTCCACATCAAAAAAAACCCACCACCACAACAAAGAACAAAAAACCTAACTTCCAAAAACCTGACATCAAGTCCTGGTGAAGGTATGAAGCAACTAGAACTCTCATGTATTGTTGATGGAAATGCACAATGGTACAGCCATTTTGGAAAAACAGCTTGTCAATTTCTTATAAAGTTAAACAGACACTATATGACTCACTAATCCTACTCGGCATTTTTTCCAAGTGTAATGAAAACTTAAGTTTATACAAAAACCTGCAGCGAATGTTTATAGCAGCTTAGTTGTAATCACCAAAAAGTGTGAACAACCTAAATGTTCTGTGACTAGTGAGTGGGCAATGGAATACTCAGTAATACAAAGAAATCAACTTCTGATACATGCATATGTGAATGAATGTCAAGTGCATTATACTAAATGAAGAAGCCAAACCTAAAAGAATGCATGGTATATAATTGTTTTTATATAAAATTCTGGAAAAGGCAAAACTTAGGGTCAGAAGACAGGGCTGAAGCCACTGCATAATGAGTAATGAGTGAAGGTCCAACAGCCTGGGAGAAAACAGTTATAATCATGTTTCAGTTAAAGCTGAAGTTGTTGTATTTGTATGAAAGCAAAGTTAAATTCTTTCAGACATCAGTGAAGATCTCTATTTTCCTATTGTTAATACTTTATTATAAACTGGGGAAAATGACACAGTCACTTATGCCCTATTTAGTTGTAATACTATTATGAGTCCATAAGTAGGCAATGGGATGATAATAGATATAAAATTCTTAATAAGTCCTTGTCCTAAAAAAGCACCATGGTCTGATAGGAGAGGTAACATTAAAATAATTTCAATTTAGTGCAATTAATTCTATAATAAGTATATGTCCTAGATATGGTGGTGACAAAATAATTGTCTTATCGTGCCTGGCTGTACAGAGGGAGAGATACTTGAGCTGAGTCTAGAAAGGCAAATAACAATCTGCTATTAAAACAAGAGGTGGGTAGTGGTAGCAGGGTGTTCCAGAAGCAGGAAAGATCATTCTAAGCTATGGGGCTAAACCAGCATGGCATGTTTGAGGAAGTGCATGTAGTTTGCTAGGGGTGCAGTGTGGTGTGAGTGCAGGGAGCATGAAGAAAGGAATATTCTTTGACAGATAATGGGGCACTTGATACGTCATGCTAAGCATTGGAATTTTATCTATTGGATGAGAGGTTGAAAACTGATAGCCTAAATATTAAATTAGGGCTTTATGTGTTTGTTTTTAAAGATGTGGGTGTATTTTCAATATTAAAATTTTGGAAAATATGCATACAAATCCAGATTTCTAGCTTCACTTGAAAAATTGCAACATCTGGTGACCCAAGGCCTGTGTTTATATGTGGCAACACTGGTTGGAGTCAGAAGCGACTGTCTCCCTTCGGTACTTTTAGGAGCATGTGCCTATCCATCCAGTACAGCCCCAACTGCTACCTGTTGTCTCAACACTCAGTCCCCTTTACTTAGTTTTGATATTGCCTGACCCCAGCAGATTTTTGAACATGTGCCTTTGCAGGAGGAAGTGGGAAGCCATTGAAAGCTTGAGGTAGTGAAATAACATGATCAAACTTCTCATTATGAAAGGATTGGTCAGGCATGATGTGGAAGATGGAGTGACATGGAATAAAAGTGGGAGCCCAATTAAATAATTCTCACAGTCTAGGGAAGAGATGATGAAAATTTAACTGAACTTAGCTTTGGGGCTGGAGTTGAGATAAAGTTTAGATGTATTATGAAGGATTTAGTGCCAGGATGTGAACGGTATTGGAGAGAAAGGAGTCTAGAGTGGCTCTTGGCTTGGGCAACTGGGTGATTTAGGAAATACAATATCCTGAGGGAAGGACAGTGGTTCTGGTTTTGAATGTGTTGCTTTTAGAGGTTTGTGGGTTACGCAACAGGCATATATCCAACAGACAGTTGGCTATGGATTTGGGACCTGTGAGCACATTCATGGTACTAGAGGTCCAATAGGTTGAGTGAAAAGGAAAGAACCAAAAAGGAAACCCTTGGAACACCAGAGAGTATATACAGGAGGTGGGTCCAGCTGGCTGATGAAGACATGCAGTCTGTGTTATTAATTCTGGCATGTTACAACTCTTTAAAATATGCTTTTATTCGACTATAAGTTAGAGAAGTTTTCTTATTAATTTCACAGAATGAATCTTAAATTAAATGCTAATGACAATGTTATTCAAGGATTAGAGCCTCTCCTTATGTGACCCATGGAATATGCATAACATAGAGGAAGCATGTACAAGAAACCTGGAATGCCATAACTCACCTGAGTCCTGTGAAAAGACAAAGTAGTTTTAAATGTATAAAAAATCTCCAAGACATTTTCACATTGTGATGTATAGAATTACCGGTCTGTTACATTAGCTCTGTTGTGACAGATAGGATCTTTTGTCTAGCTGGGAGTAATTATCTGTAAGCAGGAAACTTGCAGTAGAACATAGACTTGAAAGACTAAATTCTAAATTCTAAATCTCCTAACACAAGTGGCAATTAGATTCACGCCATCATGCTTTATATGTTATATTTAATATATTTTTATGGATTAGGACAGAGTTGTCTCCTAGACTGAGTATACAGAATTTTATGTAAGGGGTCATAGCTATTCCTATTTGAGAAACATATGCAGAATAAGTAATTAGAAGACTGAGGAAGATAGGAGAAACTATAACTGAGCTTCAGTGAGGTTGTCATTTAGAAGTAAAACTGGTTGAATATTGAAAAGAAAACAAATGAATGCAAAATAATGCACATTGTTCTAGGGTTTATTCTACTCAGAGCATTCATTTCATAGGTTTACTAAGACTTCATAGAAAAGAATAAGATTTTCCATTTCCATGAGCATATTGTAACGTCAGTATAGCATCCTGCTCTGTTTTAGAATCTATTTCAAAAAAGTTCAAGGCAATGGAATTTATAATCTTGTGAATCTCTGAGAATTGGTGTGTTTAACTCACATTAGCATTTTGGGGGATAGCCCTGGTAAGGCTCCTGTGCATGGACATAATAGCTCCTTAGTTTTGCCTTTTACCTTTTGTCCTTTCCGCCTTTTTTCCTATTGCTTTCCTTTTTTTTCTAAGAAGATATGCCTTCTTTTTTCCAATATGTTCAGACCATTCTTTCTGCCAGGAAGGCATTCAGGCAATATGCATATATCAACACACACTATATCTACTTTGAAATATTTATTGCTAAATAACATCCCAAGTGAAGGGTGTTCTGCTGATGATAATGGAAGTCACTTTCTTTTATGATTTTTCCCAGTTAATCTTTCTGTGATCTCCACTTGACTTCTCTTCTTGGCCCCCATATAGGTAAGGTATAATGAGTTTGTATGAAGAGATTAAAAGTACTGTCAAGTTCTTTAAGTTGTCTGTTGTTGATTATGTGCTATATCTAGAAAGAGCTGAGCTGATGGAAAGAAAGTATTTTCATAGAAGGCTCCCTGTTTGGGTCCTATGAATTAGGAAATCCACAAATTGTAATCATTTTTACTATACTCTGTAATCATTTTCCTTAATTTTTGTTCTCAGCAGTGGTCTCCATTTCATAGCTCCAAAAGTGTCTTATTATTAAAAAACGTGTCCCAGTGGTTACTGATCTATGAGCATTTTTCTTAAAGTTCTGTTCATTAAAATAGTAATTCTAATGGCAATATGAGAGCTTTGAGTTGTGTGGTTATGCTAGTATAAGCTTGTGAATTTAAGAATAGTTTACTAATGCTTATTTACATATACAATATATATCTCCCACTTTTGCCCTCTAGACATCATACCACCCTAAATACAGGAAAGGATTCTAGATAACTCCTCTCCTCTGTAATCTGTTACACTTGTATTAATTAGGCAAATGCCTTGTTAGGCAAATCGGCGACATATTTTACTTGTATTTTATTTTTAACCATAGCCCAAGATAAAAGGCTCAGAATTGCAGAATCAAAAATAGAGTCATTTCTGGGCTTGACAGCTTTATGGAAAATCCCTGATACTGAAATTAAACTTAGGGCTCAGCAGAAAGTTCTCTCAACTTTCTTACAGGATGTTTGTAAGATAACAGATATCTTTAATAAGGTGTTTTATAAAGCACTTTCTATGAGTTTAGCATTGTAGTGGACTTTATGGATTACAAAAATTGCATAAACCTTGACCTTGGAATACAAGAAACATGTAATCCAGTTGGGAAGTGGGATATGCATAAGAAATGGTTAATATGCAAAACATTTTTCTTCTTTTCTCCTTAAAATTGTGATATAATTGACATATAATATTGTATTCACTTTAGGTGTGCAGCATGATTTGAAATATATATATATATTGTGCAAAATGATTATCACACTAAGTTTAGCTGATCTATCACCATATATAATTACTATTTTTTTCTTATGAGAACTTTTAAAATTTACTATCTTTGCAACTTTCAAATATACAATACAGTAATGTTAACTATAGTTACCATGCTGTACAATACATCCTCAGGACCTATTTGTCTTATAGTTGGAAGTTTGTACCTTTTGACTCCCTTCACCCATTTAGCCCACTCCCCACCCCTCCATGTCTGTTCTTTTTATCTATGAATTCATTTTTTGTTTTTTGTTTTTTTCTAGATTCTACATATAAGTGAGATCAAACAGTATTTGTCTTTCACTGTCTGATATTTCACTTAGTATGATGTCCTCAGGCATATCCATGTTTTCACAAATGGCAGAATTTCCTTTTCCTTTTTATGACCAAATAATATTCCATTGTTTATATATGTGACACATTTTCTTCATCCATTCATTCATTGATGGACACTTATGTCATTTCCATGTCTTGACTATTATAAATGATACAGCAGTGAAGAAGGGGGGGGTACAGCGTATTTTTGAATTAGTAATTTCACTTCCTTTGGTAAATACCCAGAAGTGGAATTACGAGATCACATGATAGTTCTAATTTACTCTTTTATACTGTTTTCCATAGTGGTAACACCAACTTACATTCCCACCAATAGTGCACAGGGTTCCCTTTTCTCCACATCTCACTGACACTGGTAATTTATTTTCTTTTTGATGACAGCCATTCTAACAGGTGTAAAACAATATCTCATTGTGGTTTTGAGTTGCATTTCCCTGATGATGAGTGATGCTGAACATCTTTTCAGAAACCTGTTGACCATTTGTATCTCTTGTTTGGAAAAGTGTCTATTCATATTCTTTGCCCATTTTAAAATCGAATTGTTTGGTTTTTTGGTGTTGGTTGTATAAATTCTTTATGTACCTTGGATATTAACACCTTATTGGGTATATGATTTGCAAATATTTTCTGCCATTTGGTTGGTTGCCTTATCACTTTATTGATGGTTTCCTTTGCTATGCAGAAGCTTTTTAGTTTGATGTAGCCTCACTTGCTTATTTTCGCTTTTGTTGACTTTACTTTTGTGTCGAATCCAAAAAAAATCATCACCAAAGCCAATATCAAGGAGCCTTTTTGTTTTGTCCTAGGAGTTTTATGGTTTCATAAACAAAACCTTTTTATCTAAAATAATAAAGTGCTCATTATGTTTACTATATAGTTAATGAACATTCACTGTGCACCAGGCACTGAGGCAGTTTCTGTGGCGATACAAAGGAGAATGAGTCGGTACCCTCTCTCCTCTGGGGGAGGCAGATACACACATACAGAGACAAGCCTAACCTTCCTCAAGACTTCCATTCACAGGGTGTATATCCTAAAGGAGAGTCTCAGTGTATTCTGGACGATTCTCTTCTCTTACATTCTAAATCCTTCTTTCTTAGGAATAGTTCATACCTAAGATCAGATCCTACCAGCTGTGTGAAACCTTAATAATTTTAGCCTATTTGTTGATAAAAGGCCAGAGGGAGAGAGGGGAAAAGGGGACAGGTGGAAGGAAGTATCGCACGTATAAGGAATTGGTTAGCCTAAAGTTTCCTTTGAAATTATGGAATCCCAGAAGTGAGATGCTGTATGGTAGTCATCTGAACCCAACGTTTAGAGACTAAACAAGTATATGATTGCTAATCTGAGTTTTAGATGCTTATTATTTACCCAAGAAATACTCATTGAACACCTACTTTGGGTGAAGCACGATTCCAGGTGTGGGGTTAGAACAGTGAATATGGCCAAATCCCTGCTATCATGGAGCTTAAGTCTAGTGAGAAACAGACAAGAAAATTAATCAATTGATTAATAATATATATTTTTTCCTGTAATATTGAGAGACAGTTGACATACATTGTACAAGTTTGAGGTGTACAGCATGATGGTTTGATTTGCATAACCCAGAAGTGGAATTACGAGATCACATGATAGTTCTAATTTACTCTTTTATACTGTTTTCCATAGTGGTAACACCAACTTACATTCCCACCAATAGTGCACAGGGTTCCCTTTTCTCCACATCTCACTGACACTGGTAATTTATTTTCTTTTTGATGACAGCCATTCTAACAGGTGTAAAACAATATCTCATTGTGGTTTTGAGTTGCATTTCCCTGATGATGAGTGATGCTGAACATCTTTTCAGAAACCTGTTGACCATTTGTATCTCTTGTTTGGAAAAGTGTCTATTCATATTCTTTGCCCATTTTAAAATCGAATTGTTTGGTTTTTTGGTGTTGGTTGTATAAATTCTTTATGTACCTTGGATATTAACACCTTATTGGGTATATGATTTGCAAATATTTTCTGCCATTTGGTTGGTTGCCTTATCACTTTATTGATGGTTTCCTTTGCTATGCAGAAGCTTTTTAGTTTGATGTAGCCTCACTTGCTTATTTTCGCTTTTGTTGACTTTACTTTTGTGTCGAATCCAAAAAAAATCATCACCAAAGCCAATATCAAGGAGCCTTTTTGTTTTGTCCTAGGAGTTTTATGGTTTCATAAACAAAACCTTTTTATCTAAAATAATAAAGTGCTCATTATGTTTACTATATAGTTAATGAACATTCACTGTGCACCAGGCACTGAGGCAGTTTCTGTGGCGATACAAAGGAGAATGAGTCGGTACCCTCTCTCCTCTGGGGGAGGCAGATACACACATACAGAGACAAGCCTAACCTTCCTCAAGACTTCCATTCACAGGGTGTATATCCTAAAGGAGAGTCTCAGTGTATTCTGGACGATTCTCTTCTCTTACATTCTAAATCCTTCTTTCTTAGGAATAGTTCATACCTAAGATCAGATCCTACCAGCTGTGTGAAACCTTAATAATTTTAGCCTATTTGTTGATAAAAGGCCAGAGGGAGAGAGGGGAAAAGGGGACAGGTGGAAGGAAGTATCGCACGTATAAGGAATTGGTTAGCCTAAAGTTTCCTTTGAAATTATGGAATCCCAGAAGTGAGATGCTGTATGGTAGTCATCTGAACCCAACGTTTAGAGACTAAACAAGTATATGATTGCTAATCTGAGTTTTAGATGCTTATTATTTACCCAAGAAATACTCATTGAACACCTACTTTGGGTGAAGCACGATTCCAGGTGTGGGGTTAGAACAGTGAATATGGCCAAATCCCTGCTATCATGGAGCTTAAGTCTAGTGAGAAACAGACAAGAAAATTAATCAATTGATTAATAATATATATTTTTTCCTGTAATATTGAGAGACAGTTGACATACATTGTACAAGTTTGAGGTGTACAGCATGATGGTTTGATTTGCATGTAGTGTGAAATGATTACCCTGATAGATTTAGTTAACATCCTCTCATATAGATAAAATGAAAAGAAAAGAAAAAAAATGTTCTTCTTGTGATGAGAACTTTTAGGATAATAATAGAATTTTGTACAGTGATAAGTGAAATAAAAATAAAGCAAGATAGATTAAAGAGTGATTAAAGGGTGGCACTTATTTTAGACACTGTTCATGGATACAGGTGAGAGATGGCATAGACAAATGTTGATTGAAACTATTAGGAATGACCTTGAAGGACAGATGAGCCGAAGGGAGAGCTTTTAGGGGGAGGCATAGACCAGAGAAAAGCATGGGCATGTAGGGGTTAAAAGAGGAGGAAGAGGCAAAGGAGGAAGAGGAAGGGCTGTCTTTTTTGCTCTGGGGAGTAACAGGAAATAAGATCATATGTGGGGGGTCAAGCCCAAATGTGACTTAAAAGTTTGAGTCCTCCTTTTGAATATGGTGGTGTCCAAATAAATAAATATAAAGTGGTCATAAAGCCACTTAAAATGGTGGCCAATGTAAAGCCACTACTATTAGAATCTTGAGCAGGGGGGCAAAAATATTTAAAAATTGATCCAATAGACAAATACATATAGGATGGGTTAAATCAAAGTGACACTGCAATCAGAAAAGTCAGCTGGAAAGCAATTGCAACAGCCCAAAAATATAATTACCATTTATGTAGCACTTATGCTATCTTAACTCATTTATTCATCCATTCAAACATATTTATTTATTAGGTGTCAGGTGATGTCTAAGGAACTGGAGAAATAATGCAATGGTGAGCCAATCAGATATGGTCCCTGTCCTCATGGAGGTCACAGCCTTATGGAGAAAAAGACATTGGTCATATAATAACAACACTAAATGTCTAATTTCAAACTGTGATAAGGACCTTGAAGGAAAAGTAAACAATGTTATGGGAGCATGCAACTGGGGGCAAGGTGGGGGCTTTGCCTTGTGTAGGAGCACGGCTTCCATGAAAGACATTGGAGCTGAAATTGGAACTGAATAAATATTGATGAGGAAGAGGTGTCGGGAAGGCATAGACAAAGGGAAAAGTATTCAAAGCAAAGGAAATAGCTTGTACAATATCCACGTAGCTGGAGGAAATGTGCTCTGTTCATGAATCTGTAAGATGGCCAGTGCTCCTGCAGCACAAAGGGTGAGTCTGATTGGTGTAGGTTTATGAATTAGGGCTGCAGACACAGGCAGGGCCAAACCTTAGAGGCCTTGTAGTCCTTGTGGGGGAGTTCAGACTTTACCCCAGAAGCAGTGGAAACCACTGAAAGTATTGGCAGTGAGATGGAGATGTGGGCAGAGAATTAAATGAGTGGGTGCAGGATGCATGCTTGTAGCATTGGAATTGGGCTGTGAAGATGGAGAAAAGTGAATGGATCCAAGAGAAGCTGAAGTACCATCCACAGGACTTGGTAATGGATGCTACGTGGCATCTCAGGGATAGGCAGTATCAGGACAAGTCCTGAGTTTCTGGCTTGTATAAATTGAAGGAGTGTGCGCAGCAACACTGTTAGGTGTATGGCATATTATCCCGTCTAACATTAATCTGAAGTTCCAGGTAGTTAAACAATGTACCCCAGCAAGTACTGTTCATAAGTGACAGAGGTAGGACTCAGCCTGTGGTTTATGATTTCAAAACCTGGGTTCTCTCATCTATACTGTACTTCTGGGTTGATGGCAAAAGAAATGACTGTGACTTAATAATAACAACAACACAATAGCTTTGGCCTTTATACTACAGGGCCATAGAATCTTAGCACTGGAAGGAATTATAGAAAAGTTCCTGCTGTGTTTTTCAAGCTACTTTGTGCCCTACAGGGAGAAATGTTTTACATTACAAAAGAACACACACACACACACACACACACACACAGAATGGAAACAAATTCTTTTAAACAGCATTACTATAATAATATGACATGCACTTTGGTGTTTTCTATACTATTCTTGCCCATAACAAAAAGCTACTTTGTGCCCTACAGGGAGAAATGTTTTACATTACAAAAGAACACACACACACACACACACACACACACAGAATGGAAACAAATTCTTTTAAACAGCATTACTATAATAATATGACATGCACTTTGGTGTTTTCTATACTATTCTTGCCCATAACAAACACAAGTTCCATCAACAAAATTGATTTCTTTATCCACTAATGAGTTGTGATCCTCTGAAAAAACTGATCCATTCCTCTTTATTTTTCAGAGTATCTGAGGCACAGAAATAGAAAGTGACTTCCATAGATTTCATAGTCAGCAGGCATGTTTCCTGACTGTAGCCCCATTTTCTGACTTTATTATACAATTTGGCTTTGTCAGCTTCATAAATAAAATCGACTGATAGGTTTGTAAATTTTGTCCCTTAGGAACAAATGTCTACTGATAGTTTTCTGCTTTTTGACATTTAGTTTGTTTCTCCCTCTACAAGTCTTGTTTTACACTAAGGTTAAGACCCTCTAGGGCCCAGTTAAATGAAGCTTTCCAAATTTTATTTGAAAGGAAAAGAACATGGAACAGTCAAGATAATAGTACATGATCTTTGATATTCTGAGAAAGAATAAAAAGCCACAGAAAATCGAAAGCAGTTTTCCAAGAGAGGTGATAAAAAAATGCACTTAGAAACTCACCCAAGAAACCAAAAGACAGTTTTGAAATCAAGAGAAAAATACAAATCTTTTTGTTAAGCAAAAAATGCCAAGGAGGGAACAGAAAGCTCTAATAACACGTGAAATCACAAGTATTGTACTTAATGAATGAAACTTAAACATAAATGGAACACATAAGATAAAAAGAAAGCTTAGGTAATATTGAAAACTGGTGGGGCATTTGGAAAGAATGTAATAGAACTAGCAGACTGCTGAAGATTCAATAAAATGAGAATTTGAAGTTGACTCAGCTGAACTGAATTTAGAAGCTTATAGGAACATTAGGGAGAAGACAAAAAGACCTTTGCTTGCCACTATTTTGCACATGTCCTTTAACGTTGCGAGAAATAGGAGTTAGTTGTCAAAAATCCTGACAAGGTTTTCTAGATATTATCCCTGTCAGCCAAGCAGAGGTGGAGCTTAGGGAGCCCAGAAGCAGCTCGGACTGACTGGGGAAAGCAAGGATGGAGAGGCCCACAACGGGACAGTCAGAAATTGGTAGCATGTCAGATGGGAGATCTTTTCTTTCTAAAGATTTATCCGGTGGGGAGAAGGCAAACTATTGTCAGTCTAATTTCCAAGCTTCATCTCACAGCCTTAGCTATGCACGTACCAACAAGTATTCTTGAAGTCTCATTAAATGCCAGGTGCCATGCTAGGCTCTGGAGAGAGCCTGTGAATAAGGCCAATCTGGTCCCTGTCCTCAAGAATTTTGTAGCTAAGTGGGAGGTACAGATAACTCCAAATGGTTTGAATCATGCTGTAACAGAAGAGAAGGACAAGGTGCTAGGGAAGAGGTATCTGACCTGGACATGGTGAGTTAGGGGAGGCCTCCTGAAGCAGATGATATCTAAGCTTAGACATGAGTAGAATAAGTAGAAGTTGACCAGATGAAGTGTGAAGAAGATGGTTTGCTTCAAGGATTACATCACATCTTATGCTTAATGCCTTTATAAAGCATAGGCCTGGCACACAATAGTCCTCATAAATGGCAGTTTTTAGTATTTTACTATTGCTGATTATAGGCACTGGTATGATGGCCCTTTTCCTATGTAAAACAACACACGTGACACAATGCTTCCGTAAGTATGACTGATAAAATTCAATATTGATGTTTAATTGTCTCATTTCACAGGCCTGTAAAATACTGATCATTGTGATCCACTTTTGCTTGCAGATGAAAACTGTATAGCGTGTCATATATTGTGATTTCCCTATAAGGAAAATATAAAATAGAATCATCATAATAATAGAACTTAAACTATAGAAGTCACCTGATCTAGCCTTCCCCTTTAACATGAGAGAAAACTGGGTTAGCCATTCGCTCAAAGTAGCAAGACTGTTGGCTAATGACAGAGACAAGACAAAAAGGTACCTGTTCTGACCAAAAGATCCGTAGTCTTTTCCTTCATTGCCACATTTTTTTTCAAAGGTCTCAACTTTTGATCTAAAATTGTGTTAATATTATTACCTTGATGTTAATTGCCATTATTACCTTTCAGGTTTACATGGGCTTCATTTTTTTCTTTTTCTAGTACTTCATTCACTCTGGGAATATGAGTGTTCATTANTATTTGTTCTCTGTCAGATTAAGGTTTTATGCAAAGACTGTACCTTTGGCAGGAATATTAAGCAAAGTATTAACTGAAGACCTGGAAAAATGTCCTGTGGTTAGTAATCTAAATAACACTTTGCTTAAAACAGGCTCCTGACTGCTATTGTGGTATATTTTTCTTGGTTATATTGTTACACAGTTATGTTCACATGCTCTGTTTAAAGCTATATAATTAGCAAAACCATTAAAATAAGCCACTACAATATTCTCCTGGTTTATTCTTTTTTTTGCTGACTCAGAAGTCTTCTGGACTTTAGCCTATTGTGCTAATATTAATTCCTTTGCCCACCTGCCAGCTTTCTTATTCTTGGGCATCTCAAAAATACTGTAATCAGTTGTCATTCTCTCCACATGGGACCCATCCAAATCCCTTGGCTGCCTCTGGAGATCTACTGGAAAAAAGATATTTTCAATGGCACCTGTTCCCACTGGATTCTTCACCATATCCACTGTGCATTCTGGAAGCCCGTTTACCTAACTTCCTGGATACTGATCGCTGCAGAGTCTGTTTCTCATTGTCAAGATCTCACGGCTCTAGCTACTTGAGATATGATGCCAGCTTCAATAGTCTTTACTCTTTACCTTTTTGGGGGTATGGTTATAATTATAGATGACATAGTGAGTTACTGTACAGATTTCAAGCAAGCTCCTAAGGGTCCCTGACAATTCCCATGATTCAATGGTAAGTGGAAGCAAGTTAGTCTCCACAGGCTGATGCTGACTTGCTCAAGAGTTCCCGGCTCTCCCCAGCATCATATGTATTTATCTCTTGACATCTAAAACCCATTGGCTTTGTTTACTGATCTTTCATTTGTTCACAAAATTCTATGGTGTGTGTCCCATTTTAAAAAAATTTATCATCTTATCTTTTCTGGAGAACAGGAGAAACATTTAGACTTACAAATATCAAGGAAGGGTAAATTGGGTTATTTGGTGGATAAACTAGGTTACTCCAGTTTTCCTGCTATGGTTGTCTTGCTATATGTGTATTTGGAAACAGAAATGTTCTCCATTTACAGATACTTGCTTATGCTTTGGATTCTTTAAATCATATGACATATCATAAGTCAAGGTCATTCAATGATAATTCCTATAAGTTATTCTTAAATCAAAAGGTGAGAAGAGTAGTTCCAAAGTCCAAACTTGTTTCTATTAATTTATAAAAATAGTATTAGTACTCACAAAGGCTGAATATATGCTATTTTTCTTTTTATTGTTTCAATGCATTTCAAAACTTCCTTCCTGTTGCCTGAGAACCTCGAGATCACAGCATTTATTATACAGATCTCCTTGGACATAAATTTTATTTTATGGTTTATTTTTTTCACAAAAATTTTACTGTGGAAGAATTTAAACATATACAAAAGTCTATCACTCAACTTCAACAATTACCAACTCATTAGTCAAATTTGTTCCATCTATACACTTACGTACTCTCTCATTCCTATTGGATAATAGTGAGCGAATCCCCAAACACCGTATCATTTCATCTGTCAGTATTTTAGTATATATCTCTAAAAATAAGAAGATCCTTTTTAAAATGCATAACTATACCATAATCATGCCTAACAACCTTAACCATAATTCCTTAATAGCATCAACTAATCGATACTAAATATCTCAAATTGTTTCATAATTCTTGTTACATTTGGTAACATCTGAACCCAAATATGAACCACATTCACATTTGGTTGTTATGTTTCTTAAATCTTTTAGTTATCCCTCCTTCATTTTTTCTTACAATTTGTTAAAGTCCTTTAATGTTTTTCAAATTTTAATTCTGCTGATTGCATGCCAATATTGTTGCTTACTGTGTTTCTCCATTGGCTGATTTTCTGCAATCTGATAGATAGGTCTAGAGATTTTATTGTATCCATTTTTATTTTTTGTCAAGAGTAGTTCAGGGGAATGTTGTGTATTTCCATCATGAGACCAAAATATCTGCTTGTTGCTCTGTGATATTAAGATTATTCAGTGTGTTCAATTGTTGCCGGCCTGATCCATCCACTGTAAAGTTTCTCATCAGCTGTTGGACATGAACTTTTTTAGTAGCCACTGAAGATCGTGAACGAGGACCCATTATTTCCTTAGGTGTTGCCAAATGGTATATTCTAATACTGTCATTTCTTCTTCACTTACTAAATTTTATTTTAAAATGTTTATTTTGGTAAATTAAATAGAAAGTAATTATTGAGCACCTATAATGTGCTAACACTGTGCTGGACAGTTTAAAGAGAAAACCCTGCTCTCAATGGAAATAGAAACATTATGTTCAAAACAGAGAGCAGTTATCATGTGATAAGTGTAATAAGAAAAGAGAGATGTGCAATGTTTCATGGAAGACATGGAACACGTGCTGGGCCAGGAACCCTTTCATGAAATAGGGAGAAAGAGAGAGGTATTCTAGTTGGGGGACTAGCCTGGACCCTGACATGAAGTTAAGAACAAGAATGGTCATATCAGGGAAGCCACAGAAAAAAACTAGAAATTACACATTAGCTGGGCTAGAGTGGGCACTGGGTGGGGCTGAGAAAGCTGAATTATTAAAGGTCTACTTGGAGAAATTGGCATCACCCCAATAACTTTCTGGTATTGTTCTAAATACATTTGGCAGATATGAGGTTTTAAATTGGGAATGCTAGAGTTTTAAATAGGGAATTACAGAAAAATGACCTAGGGAAATTCAATAGTTTAGAAGTAGATTTGCAAAAAATTGGTAAGTTAAAAGCTCAGCTGAGCTTAATAAATATAATATTGCCCAAATTAGATGTAAAATATAAAGAATTAGTCATGTTGATAGGTGTACATAATAGTGAAAGAAAAATACAAACTCCACAGGTACTTGTGTTTCCAAAGAACAAACTATTTGAAAGATAAAAAAAGGTGCATGGGGCTTGGTGTGAAGCTGTGGCAAAGTTAGAGATGCTGAGTTTAATTTTGGAAACGTTGTATTTTGGGCACACAGACAAACCAAAGGCTCTCAGCTTTTGTTAGGATGGGATTTCAGATAAGAAGACAGAGCTGATACTGTACGTCTTAGAGTCAGACACACAGAAGTGACAGGTTAACTCATACGAGAGGATGGACGCATCAAATCACAGACATAGAGTGAGTGGCTGAGGCCAAAGAGAAGGGGTTGCAGTGGAGGTGGAGATGGAGGTGGGCACAGAAGGCAAGAAGAGAGTAGTAGCCATTGGTGGGAAAGCAGGGAGAACGACATTACGGCTTAGGAAGGGGTTGAAAACGTGAGAAGATGGTCAGCAGTGGGAGGTACCACCATGAGGTCAAGGGACTGAGAACTATCCCTTGGGTGTTCAGGAGGGAGGTCACCGATAGCACTTGATAGGACACCTGGCTTCGATACAGTAGATTACAGAAGGAATTGTTTGGAAGCAGGAGATCAGGATGAAAGACATAGATGATCTTCTTCGAGGAATGGGGTGCCCTAAGAAGGCAACTATGACAGCCAGGATAATAGCAGATGGGGAAGCCTAAGTGTGCTTAAAAACCAAGAGTTCTGAATTTCTTTGCTTATTTTGATAAATTGGGCAAAATATATTTTTAGAAAACAAACTTTTAATAGTGAAAGTGTACAAAATGAAAGAGCTTAACTAGTTACTTTAATTCAGCATATTTTTAGGACATTTTATTTATTCTATTTTCATTTTATGTTTCTGTAATGAGTCATGCTTATATCAAATATGTAAGATATGAGGTTTTATATTCGTTTCCAGAAAAGAATTCTGCACACCTCTCCACCTCACTCCTTGCTGCCTCTTTAGCTACATGTGTACATGGAAAATGTATTTCTTTTTATTTTATTAGTTTCATTGGTTTTCTGCTTACAAAGGTAATACATGTCTATTGTAAAAATGTCACTTGGCACAGAAAGGCTTAAAGAATAAATTTTTAAAATTCCATGAAATGGTGCTATTCAGAGATAACCAATATTGTTATTTTGGTAAATCTCCTTCAAAATCTCTATGTGTTGATACATAGATGATACTTTTTATTAATGTGATCATACTATAAATGTGACTTTGCACCTGCTTTTTTGTATCTAATAATATTTTGTGGGCATTTTCTATGCCAATGAATATAGATTTATAGCATCATTTTTCAATGAGTCATTGTATGAAAGTATCGTAATTAGTTTAAGCCATCTCTTGTTGCCAGACATTTAGGTCCTTTCCAGTTCTTTTGTTAATGCAGTGAACATTCCTGTGGGTGCATTTTTGTGTACTTATTCAGTTGATTGTCCTCTTTGAATAACTTTCTGAAAGTGGGGCTGTGGGTCAGAGGCTATGCATATTTTATATTGTGATATCTATTTACATATTGTCCAGTGTCTCTAAAAGTGCTGTGCCAATTATATTTCTACCAGCAGCACTTGTCAGTAGCCAGAAAGTTCATTTTAATGTCTTAAGTTTTTTTTCATCTTCATTTGGGCTCATTTTCCTCACTTTTAAATAAAGATGAAATGTATCTATGGTTCTTAAACTTTTAGATCTTAGGACCATTTGGGAATTTTTTAAAGCTGCTGAGCAGAAATTGGAAATGTTATTCCAGAAAAACCCACCTGTGCAAAAACACATTAATTTTTATATACCATTTATGAGAATTCACAGATCCTTTGAAGTCAGTTCATAGACTCATTAGGATTTCACTCCATGAATTTAAGTGAAGACTCTCTGAATGAACTGATTGTAAAGCTGCTTTCTCCGTTGAACATTAACACCCATACACCTTGCCCCCATGACACACCACACACTTTGCACATAGAATTTTAATGTATATTTGGAAAAAGCTTAACATCTCCTTGATACAGAACCTAATGTCACTGTGATCTATAAAATCACTTGAGTGTGTATAGTTATTGGAGTGAATTTCTATTTATTTCAGGTTCTTCAATGGCGAGCCCACCAGGATGAGGTAGCAAGACTGGAAATGGAAATCTCTGCCAGAAGAAGAGAAAAGGAAGAGGAGAGAGAGAAACTGTGGAAGAAAAAGGAATTGTTACAAAGAGAAGAGAAGAAAAAAAAAGTATAAAAATCTGCTATTGCTGTGAGTCCGTGAATGAATGAATGTTTGAGTGCCTGGTTGAGCTTTGACTGATCTTGGTGTTTGGCATGAAATTCTCATAGGCAGTTATTTTTGTTTATTGCACTAAAGTTGATATAGAATATTATATTGGTTTCAAGTATACAACATAGCAATTCACCATATACAGTTCTTAGAGAGATTCATAAATTCTAATACAGTCTTGCTTCAGTTCATTGGAGCTTCAAAGATTTGGGGACATGGAGAAGAACCCACTTTATTGACTGCATGAGCACAGATACAGTGATAAGAAGAAATGCTGTAGGTAAAGAAAAGACAGGGTTTGTGAGTATTGTTAAATCTTGTACTAAATCTGACATGGAAAAGACCAGAGGGTACTGGGATAGCATTTTGCTTGACTGCAGCACAGCAAATGGCTGTCAAAAGATGTTCTTGATAAATGCATTGTGGCGGGGTCAGTGGAATTCATGGAATACCAAGAAGTCCTAAAAGCACTTACTTCTTGATTTATTTTCTGCTAGATTTTTTGGTTTTTCATTTACTGACATAAATTCATCATTCTGCATTTGAGCAGACATTTCCCAATCTTCAAAATATCTATCAAAACACTTATTAACAGCTTTAAAATGATTGCCGATAACTGTGAAAGATAAAACATACTTGAGGGGGACTTTAAAAATATATATGGAACATTTATTTAGACATTTTTGTTTGCTCACACCACAGAAATTATAGAATTTGCAGTAAAATGTTGTACTTGATGATTGCATGAGATTTATTAGTCTTTTTTATTGAATTGCTGACTTCTGTGGAATAATTCATGAAAAGGCAATTTATGATCAATTCCATAGCAAAATGAAAGGAATTTTCATTAACCTATACTATACACCTATAGATCTGTGTGATGTTTTCTTTTGCGAAGCTGCCTAAATTGCTACAAATAACTGATTAATTCATACTCCTTGATGGATAAAATTTTGTTTTTGTGAACACAATCAACATTTTGGGATATTTGACCAACTAGATTTATGAACTTCTTATCTAGAAGTTTTTCCTTCAAAATCGAACTGGTGGAGAATAAAAGCACTATCAGGTTTTTTGTTTTTTAGCTATAAGACTGTTTTCTGCATTTTATTATACTTTGGTTGTCATTTTTCTTGCTTGTTTTGTGCTCTTATATCAGCAAATTGCTGTAGAGTCAGCATGTGTGGAAAACAATATATGTACAGAAGTTATATGATCATTTGAGAAAGCTGCTAAGATGTAAATTCACAGTTTAATTTCTAAGGAAGTAAGTTGGGTAGTTTCATCAAGTCCCCATAAAAAGAGAAACTCATCAATATCAATCATACTCAAATAATGTATGTGAACTGTACATCTCTATAGAGGAACTTACCAATAATTTACTGTTATGAAACTATGATATTGGGAAAGCCTGTCTGTATAGTTTTGTCATCTGCCTGGGCCCCTTTCATAACACTTCCTCGCTATGAATTAGTATGACCATGAAAAGTAACGTATTTGTAAGCATTTATTTGCATGTCATATCTTTTTAAGTGTCATGTAAAGAGATTTAGATACAGTCCCGCCTTCGGGCTTACAAAGACAGTGAGAGAATACACAAATTAATAACTTGAGTATTGAGAATTGAAATATGTGCATGTAATTGTTAAATTAGTTGTGAAGCCGGCATGGTTATACAGGGGAGGGGATGGAGGGACATTGCTAGTTGTTTTTGCAGCCTGTAATATTTCTGGAAGTGTGAGAAAGACCTTCTCAAAGATTAGAGAGAGACCTTCATTTTCAACAGCTTTCAGGTGAGCTCTTGACATTTGGGCTAATACCAAAACAACAGCAAAATAAACAGTAATGAAGGGAACAGTTAAGCTCTAAGCCCAATTCATTGTCCATTTCTGCAATTATATAGGACAAATGTATATGTTTTATGTATTTTATTTTTTAAAAATTGCTTCTGACACTCAGAAAGTGTTTTTTTAAGTACAGATTGAGATAATAAACACATTAGTACTTATCACCTAGCATTGAAGTTGTTAATATTTCTCATTCTGTTTCTGATATTTTTTATTTTATAGATAAATGCTAAGTCCTTTTTTGAGGATTTACTCAGTACCATTTCCCTCTCACTTTCCCAAAGGCAATCTTGATCATCAATTTTATTTTTTATTTCTATCTTTCTAGGCCATCTATTGCTTTTAACATATTTTAATATGTAGTTTGAGACTTTCACATTTTTTTCATGAATACAATCACACTGTATCATTCTGTAGCATGTACTTCATTCAACCTTACATTTTTTAGATATATCATGTTAATACATAGAGACCTAGGTCACTCCTTTTAACTACAATTCTACTCCATTATAGAATGAGGCTACCGTTTATCCCCTCCTTGTTTTAACTGAAGTATCTTTGATACAAAATATTATATTGGTTTCAAGTATACAACACAGTACTTCAACAGTTACACACATGATTAAATCCTCACCCCAACTAGTGCAGTTACTATCTGTCAACATAGAAAGATGTTTCAGAACCACTGGCTGTGTTCTCCATGCTGCACTTCCATTTCTATAACCAACTAATATGATTGAGAATTCTGTGCCCCTTTATCCCCCTCACACTTCCCACTCGCCTACCCCAACCCTTCCCCCACAGTAACCACCGGCCACTTCTCAGTGTCTCTGAATCTACTGCTGTTTTGTTCATTTTATTTTATTTAAGATTTTTAAGATTCCTTTGGCTATTTTGGGTCTTCTGTGGTTCCATATGAATTTTAGGATCATTCGCTCTAGTTCATTGAAAAACATCATTGATATTTTGATAAGAGATTGTATTGAATCTGTAAATTGCTCGGGGCACTATGGGGGGTGGGCTTGAGTCCTGACAGGCCACTGCCCCGCCCCTTTGCCCCTCGGTGTGGGCTTCCCTTCTTCACCAGGTGTGGGTGGTTTATCCTGCTCTCTGCAGGCCTTTCTCAGGCTTAGTTGTAGTTGCTTCCTTGGTGTGTGTGAGGGAGGTGGTTTCTGCCTTACCTTTCTGCTCTGCTGTCTTTTCCCGAGTTGCTCGGTTTATCCCTTTCCTTAGTGGTCGGCATTTAAGTTTCTAAAGTTTTGTTCCTGCCACCATGCTACAGCAGCCACCTTGTACATGCTGACTGAGGCATGTGTACAAGGTATTCTCTAGGGTACACCCAAAAGGGGAATTAGTACTATTTTTAAAGGTTTTTTGACTTTATAATACATTACAAATATTCTATTTGACTTTTGCCAATAGGATAAATGTGAAGATTTTACATTGGGTTTTCTGATCATTTGTGAGATTGAAATTCTTTCCCAACATTTATTGGGCAGCTTTCTTCCTCAGAGAATTGCTTATTCTTAATCTTTGTCCATTGGTCTATTTTTTCTTAATCTGTAGAAGTTCTTTATAAATTCTGCATACTATTTCTTTTGTTAGTTATATGGGTTGAAAATCTTCCACTGACCATTTGCCTTTAAATTTTGTCTATAGTGTCTACAATTTCATAGAAATTTTAAGTGATCAAGTACTCCAAGCTATTATTAAACTTTTCCTTTGTTAATTGTGTTTTCTTTTGTGAACTGTGACCCATGAGCTTTTATGTTTGTCTCTGCAAGGGGCGCAATGCATTCCACTGGCCCAGGACAGTTTGCGTATCAGCTTTGAGGCTGGGGCCCTATGCTATCAATCTGGAGCATGCACTGACTCAGTACCTCATGCACACCACCAGCCTGAGACCCCAGTTAGCCTCTTTCCTCCTCCGGTCCCAAGCAGAAAGTTAGCCCCCAGGGCACTTTCCTGCAAAGTGGTCATGGTGTATCTAGTTCCATTTTGTGTATGGACAAGTCCTGTGTGACTTTTTGCTCTGCATACGTAGCTTGGTTCCAGCTCCTGTGTGTCCAGGTCCTGCAACTAATTAAAGGCCCAGCCACCAGCTCCTCAGGCCAATCTCAAATCCCGCTTTCCCCACGAGTCCTTCAGCTTTTGGTTCCCCAGCACTGCTCTGACTTGAGTTCCATCTTTATTTTCAGCACTGGGGCATTGCGTACACATGTGTGTGTGTAGTTGTGTTACAGTTTGTCCAAATTTCTTTGTGTTTAAAGTGGGGACGGGGATTTATATGTCAATTCGGACATACTGGACAAAGTTTTGGCTACCTTTGCGTACACTAACTACAAATGTAGATTCTTTTTGTTTCAACTGTTTTATCTGTTGGAACCAATTTTTCATTTTTCATTGTTTAGCACCAGCCTGGCAGAACCCCTAGTGGAAGCTCCCCAGACTTGATCCTGGTTGCTTTCTGGGCTGGTGTTGCTTTTCCCCATTTCCTATCCTCCTTGCCTGGCTTGCTCCTGAGACAGCAGCCATGGAGACTGATAAATGACGCCATGTGTGTGTAAAATACCATCTTCAGATTTCTGAACAAGAGGTCATCTTTCTCCTAATTCTTTTTCCCAGCAGTTTGTCTTTTAGGGAATAACATCATCTTTTTGCTAGAATAACAGTTTGTATCCAGTGTCAAAGTTTACCCTGGTAGAGATGCTCAGCTCCTTTCAGATGTACCTTTATTAGGTCACTTTTTTCTTCTATGCTTTAAAACTCTAGTTGAACACAATATTCAGTTTTCATAGTTTTATCTTAAAACTCAAGGAAAGTTTTGATTCATAAGCTGTTAGATAATAATGGTAATATTTCAGAAGCATCTCTCCACTTTTAAAATTATTGTCACGATAAAATCAAAAGATGATGCTTTTCCATAAACTATCCCAAGGAGCTATTGTAAGAAACAAAATTACTGTGCAAGTCTTAAGATGCCTGCTGTGTAATGCTGGTCCCGACATCACCCTTTCCTTGGGTGCGGCTCTTTGGGTGGCTTGAGTAACATGAAGTTCTGTTGCTGTATGAAGCCTGGAGTCCTGTGCGGTCCAAGTTTCAGCCTTGCTC